TACAGTAATACCAGCTGCCCTTAAAGCCTCGATGGTCTGTGGAACTCTTCTTGTAACTTATCCTCTACTGCAGTGCATCCTAGTAGTGTGAGATTAACCTCTACCAAAGTAGATTCGATAACAGCCATACGACTGTCCTTATTGTATATATCATCTTGTACTGCAGATATCTCATGAGCTATACCACACCACTCACTCCACTTCATCCTACGCATGGCTACACATAATGTACCTACATCGGCACCATATGCAAGATGATAATAAACCAACCTACGGTATCCTAGATCAGCGAACTCTCTAACATGACGCTGAGTATGGGACATGGTAGCTTTAGCCTCGGAAGTATCCACTGTACATTTTGGTAGAATGGAGCTATCCGCTCCCTTAGTATACACATATACCATCTTATCCGGGGTATCTGATGATAGGATCATCATGATGTGGTGTCCAGCAGACACAGCCCTCCTCCTTACTCGGTATACTGCTATCAGCTACCACAACAGACATCATCCTCCGCTCACTAGTGAATTCCACCACATGTAATAGATCCATAGTCTTTGTATCTCCTTCAGGCAGTAGAGTTATATCGATACTGTCTGGTGTTCTATCCGTAAACCTCAAGCCAAAGTAACCCGCCGCTGATACCAAAGCACTCTCATCGGGTGATGTCCCTTGGTACACAGCCTCAATGCCCCCTTCACTCTTTCGTCTATCATCATCAACAACAACATCATCATCAGAGGCCACAACATCTCCATCCTCTCGAACAGCATAGATATCCAACTTGGCTCTACCTTTCATCCGTCCTTTCGCCTTCTTTAATGCCTCACTAAGGCATCCCCCACTTTTACCTTCATCGGGATCAGTATGATATTCCGGATCTGGCATGGCAGGAGGCTGTGCCCTCTCGCACGTATGGTTGATAGCTAGGGCAAAGAGGAATTCATGCAAAGTGTTGGAAGATCCCCTCCCTTCCTTGGCCAAAGCCTTTCTCATCATGCTCACCAGCTCGTCAGAACACGGTAATACACCAGAGAACTTGGGAGGAGGTGGCCAGCAGCTGTATGACGGTTCCCTTTTGACCTTATCATTGGAATCTTCATCCGGTAGGGTTGTAGATGGTGAGACATCTGTGCTAGCATAGAGCTTGCCCCCAACAGCTGCTCCTTTAAACTCCATCTTGTTGCAGGTAAGAGTACCAGTCTTATCAGTGAATACATGGG